GGCAATGCGCGCGAACAATCTGGAGCGCTGCCGCGATTAGTTGCGAGATCGTGCGGACGCGCGCCTGGGGAGCGCAGCGCCGCGTGCTACTCCTTCTTGGTCTTGCGCCCGCAATCCTTGCAGGTGCGAGCAATGAACCGAGCGCTAGAACCGACCCCCGAGATATTCGCGCAACCTCTGGCAGCGGAGGACTTGGAGGTTTCTCCTTCAGGCCAAAAGAAGAACTCGAAGAATGCCAAACCTTGCCGCTGGAAACTTTCGGCCCCGAAACTCTCAGAAACTGCCCGTCTTCCTTGCGAGTGCAGTTGCTACCGGCCCACCCTATGAACAGAAGCGGATCCTCACTTGGTTTCTTCACCATGCGACCCCAATCCACGTTGTCTGGGGCATTCCTGAGAACGCGACCACGACTAAGGCCTGCGCGCTGACCCGAGGCAAACATAATATCCTGACCACGGACAGAGATATGATCCGAAACAGATTCCCCCTCCTCAAACTCCACCAGAAACACTGGCCATAGAATAAGATCCGGTCGGGCGAACAGCCATGAACCCAAGAGTACCCCCTCGGCCTCTGCAGAGGCCCGAAGACTCTTTTCCCAGAGCTCTGGAGGCCCCTGAACCGGGGCGGCGTCGGTCAGCCCCATGCAACTCTCGCGGACACGATGCTCAGCGCGGTTGCGCTGCAAGCTTCGCTGCCCGTCGCCCCCCCCCCCCCCCCCCCCCCTCATTCCGCGCCCTGCGACGCAAGACGCGAGAAGAGAAAGAAGAGCAGAAACGAGAAACACCAGGATCCATCCTATCAGCTCCTGCTTGCTCCTAATGATCTGGTGAGGGATTGATGGCGAAGCAGCGCCAGAACTGACGGATGCGAACTCTCGTTCGCCATCGTCTTCGCGCAACTGGACATGGCGCTCGCCAGTGCCTCCAGCGTGCGCTACCGTTGCCGTTCTGCGCTTGCCCTTGCATTCAGGGCACCCGGACCAATGGCCTGTTTCGCGGCGGGTCTTGGATTGCGAGCGTTTCTTGATCTCCTGGAGCCGCTTCTTGCGATTTTCCAGGGGCGGTCCTCCCTTACCGCCCCCCCTGGGCGACCGGGGCGTGCAATGGCAACTCTTGCATCCGCTCTTGCCCCTGCCCTTGCCCCTCCCCATCGACGCCTAGATTGGCGACCCAAACCTCTTGGATCGCGTCGGAAGCTTCTCCCCCGCGCATCCGGCCTTGACCATCTCGTCTAACGCCTCGAAATCGATCGCCCCAGCCGCGCTCTGGCGCATAGCCGGACGCGTAGTGTCCGTAGGGACTCAGCTCCTCAAGCAATGCTCCTCCTGCTCGTACCATCCTTCATCAACAGTGCAGAAGCCGCGTTGCGGCCTGGAGACGCGCACCTTGCCCTTGCCCTTGCCCCTGTTCTGGTCGCTGGGTCTGGGCAGCGTCCACGTCGAAGAGCTGGAGCCTTTGCCAGACTCACCCTTGCCTTCTTGGCGGATGTGTATGCGGCTGTGCTGGAGGATCAAGACGTCCTTGATATTGTCGAAGGTTGTCACATGTCCTGCGCGTGTCAACGCCATCAGGTTCTCCGAAGGCGAGGTCCAAGAGAAGGGAGCCAAGCACATCGCCGCTCATCAAGTTCTTGGGATCGAATTTGGGCACAAGGTTCCACCAGCGCTTCATTCGGGATATGTATGAGACCATCGACTCACCGTGCTGCCGAGACAATGGTCCATATGGTTTCTGCCCCACGTGGAACCGGATCTTCGCTTTCTTGCGCCTCCATGGGGAAGAGTGAAATACGAATCGCCAGCACCAGCTGATCGATCCCATTCGGAGTCAGAAGCACGTCCTTGCCGATATCCATGGCAATATCGAATACGTCAACTCTGAAGCCTTCTACAACCTTGTTGACAGCTGCGGTGTTCACGTGTTGTTGTGGTGCACCCGTCTCTTGATCCACTGAGGCCAAGGCGGCACTCATGCGCATCTAATTCCTTTTCGTGAGACATGGTCACCGTGCCGTCGTATATGTAGGAACCACTCTTCGTTTCGGACCGCGGCAGCGCGTCGGCGCTCGGCCGATAGCGAAGAGAAGAAAGTGCCATGGCGCGAGGCTAAATCCCCTAGCGAGGAAAACTGCCAGTACAGAAAGCAAAGAGAGGTAGTGCGACACTCTCTAATGAGACGTGCGCGCAGTGGTACGATACGGGGATCGTGTGGTAGCTCCGCTACCAGTGGGATTCTGATGCGTTTTAGCGCAATGGCAAAGAAGGGGCCCCTAGAGGTCAAACGGCGGCGAATGGTGCATGTACACACGTGACACACGCACTATCTCACATCGTTGTTGACTATACATGGACATTATCTTTCGGAGGTCCGCGCGGGCTTCCTGGGTTGGCGTTCGAGGACCCCCCTTCGAGCCACGCGGTGCCCCTGGCACGCTCAGCGAGCCGGAAAAGGAGGGAGGTGGGCTCTGCGCCGATCCGAGAAATCCGCGCGGGCATCCGAAAGACTTGTGGCTGTCTTGCCCTCCTTCGAACATCGCTGGAACGTCCCGTCACGTTCGCGGGAGCATCCTAACTGGGACCACAAAAAAAAACCTCATTGCCGATGCAGCGGCGACGTCGGGACGGAGAAGACAGGCTACAAGTCGCGCCGCATCGCCGATGCATCGGCGGTCCGGTGCAATCCCCGTCCTCGTTTGCCTTGGCCACACTTGGGAGGCCTGGAAGTGTCCCTCGCCCCAGGCGCAGGCTGGAGTGACCAACGTTTTTCTGGAGGGGCGCCATCGAATGTCCAGCCCAAGCCAAGAGGTGCGAGAACGGCGACAATGACGCGCAGACACAAGGAGAGAGCAATCCATGCTCCACGAGGGGGATCGCGATCGGGGGGCGTCCAGGGAATGTCTCCGAATACGCTGCAGTGCCAACGGCATGTTTAGGCGCGTCAGGTCGCATGATAGCATCTATATACTTTCTGAGTGCGGCCACCACCCTGCGAAATACATCTCTGAGAAAACTCCTCCGAATCCAAGCGTTCCTTTCGACCCCAGGGCATCCCAAGACCGACCCATGAGGGCTGCAAGATGGCCTGGGGGCGGGTCAAGACAGAGGCCCCAAGATGCCTGCAAGGGGCCCGAAATGCATTCTTCAGCAACGACCCAGAAACCATACTCATTAATTAACCTGACGAAGGACCCATACAGATGCAGCTGCGAGTACCGCGAGGGAGATGAGACGAAGGAGGGGGGCGCGCAAACTCCGACTAGCTTTCGTAGCCAGCGCGCCGCAGCAAGAACGAAGCGCGGGGCAATGCGGACAAAAAGTCTTCGGTGGAACTCCCTATGGGGCCACGAACCGTGTGAGGAGTGTGCCGAATTGGGTGGAGGGGACGCATGTAAAATGTGCCATTGGGGACTTCGGTGGAGCTCCCTATGTGGCCACGAACCGCGTGAAAGGTGTGCCATAATCCATGGCGGGGGCGCATGTGAACTGTACCACTGGGGCCTTCGGCAGAGCTCCCTAAGGGGCCACGAACCGTGTGAGGGGTGCGCCGAAATAGGTGGCGGGGACGTATGAAATCTGTGCCACTGGGACCTTCGGTAGAGCTCCCTATGGGGCCACGAACGGAGAGAAGGGTGTGCCGTAATGAGTGGCGGGGAGGCATGTAAACTGTACCACTGGGGCCTTCGGTGGAGCTCCCTATGGGGGCAAACCACGTGTGAGGGGTGTGCCGAAATAGGTGGCGGGGACGCATGTCAACTGCGCCACTGGGGCCTTCGGTGGCCTGCGGGGACACGAACCGTGTGAGGGGTGCGCCGAAATGGGTGGCGGGGACACATGTAAACTGCGCAACTGGGGCCTTTGGTGGAGCTCCCTATGAGCAACCGTGTGAAGGTTGGGCCGAAATGGGTGGCGGGCACGCATGTCAACTGTGCCGTTGGTGCCTTCGGTGGAACTCCCTATGGGGCCACGACCGCGTGAAGGGTGTGCCGTAATGGGTGGCGGGGACGCATGTAAACTGCGCCACTGGGGCCTTCGGTGGAACTGCCTACGGGGCCACGAACCGCGTGAGGGGTGTGCCGGAATTGGTACGGTAATGGCGGCGACGATGATGACGATGATGACGATGATTACGGGGATGCTGGTGTGATGATGATGACGATAAGGTTATGCGCAGAGCAGAGGGCAGAGGCAGGGATGGGATGAGGGAGGAGGAAGAGGAGGAGGAGAACGCGGGGCGCTGTCTCTTCAAAATGAGGGTCCGACACCACAGGATGGTTGGGAAAAAAACATCTAATCCTATGCATTAAAAGCTTTTCGGTCTAGTACGGGTTCAGGGATATCTCGAAGGCCTCCAAGACAGTCCCACACGGCCCCATCTGACAATTCCCCAGGACGTTCCAAGACAGCCCCAAAACATCCCCAAGACCTTCACAGACTACTACAAAAAGACCGCTCCAGAACAGCCCAAAGACCCGGCCAGGCGGCTTCCAGACGGTTCTTACCAACTCTCTTCCAGAGAGCTTGGTAGCACCATCGCGCCCAAGACGGTCCGAGGGAACAGGGGTCCGCGGAGGCGAAAGCCCCGTAGAACCATCGATCACTGAACCTGTTCGGGAGAACTCGGTGGATTCATTCCGCGATGGACGCGCCTCGACGCTGAGATGGCACGGTGACGGGGATTGTCACAGGAATCTTGATCAGTAGACGAAAACCCGCAAGGCAAGGCGCCATAGCCTTCATGGCGCCCCCCCGACCCTCCAAGACTAAGGATGAGCGCTGGAATCCCTGACCCCAATCTCCTTCAGAACGCTTTTGAAGCATTCCAGCGGGGAAGCATACCTCTAAAATTTCGAACTCGGGGCAAGGGTCGTGGGTTCAGCTGGTGAGTGGAAGCATGACTGACGCAATCCTGAGAGAGAGAGAGAGGAAGAGCGAGACGATGAAGAAGAATGTGTACACGTACACCGCGGAACGACTTGGCGCCTGATAATGGCCGTCAGGCTCACTCCTTGTACCACTTCTTGGCGTGCGCCGCGTAGGTCTCTGGTGAGACGGCCTCAACGACGATCGGCATGAAGCCGTGCAGCGTGCCGCATAGCTCCGAGCACTGCCCGTAGAAGACGCCCTCGCGCTGGATGAAAGTGGTGATACGGTTGATGCGGCCTGGGGTAGCATCCGTCTTGACGCCAAGGGAAGGAACGGACCAGCTGTGGATGACATCCTGCGGAATAGTGCCAAAATGTGCTGCGAAACTCACGGAAGAATAATTGCACTTAGAACGACCCTCGGCATGGAATGAAACGATCACAGGGCCGTCTAGGTGCCAGAACCGTCGCGAAAGTGACGCGAAGCTCCCTGCCTTCCTCCGCAAAACTTGTACCTCGTGGGCAGCTGGCTTCCAGGCAGGAGGGCGGCCCTGAACGCCCACAGGCCCCTCACGCAGGCACCTCCACGGTCACCAGACGCGCCTCTGGCGCATCGGGTTTTGCTTTACAGCGCACCAACACAAACGCCTAGCCAGACCCACAAGCACCAGATTGGCGTGAACCGCTTCCATCTAGGGCCCCGGAGGGTGCGCGCACCGATGCTAGGCTCAGGGCCCCCTAAACTGGGACATTGCTAACCAAGACTTTGAAAATTAAACTGGAGACAACGAAGAGAGGAGAATGTTTCGACCCACGGCTGCAATGCTCTTGGGCGCGCCACCCTCCTGGTTTTATCAGGAGTCCCCGTCTACGGGGCCCTGGAGCCCAGGGTGTGCTTGTCCGGTCGCTCGCGTGCTACCGCAAGGGTTGGCACTCCGCGCTCCTGGCCGGTGACGAGGAAGCGGATGTGTGTCCGCGTGGGCAGCGTCAAGCGCTTGTCTACCTCCAGCACGCGGACCATGCCGGGCTTCAGGTCCTCTCGAGGTGGGCGAAAAAGGTGGGATAGCAGAGGCTGGCGGCGCGCCCAGGGGGGCAGGCAGGGGGGGGGCGGGTCTCCTCGAAGGCTCAAAAGGCCTCTGGCCTTTTGGGAGGTTTTCTGAATAATCCGCGAAGCCAGTGGGGGGCTTACCCAATCAGCCCATGCAGCTGGTTCTCATATACTGAGGAAAGTGCCTGGCAGAGAAGCCACAGCCAGCTGCACGCAGCAATTTTCGTAGTCCCCCCTTCCTCCATCGTGGGGGGCCACCAGAACTTGACATTTTTTCATACCCCAAGGGATCTCGAGAGGGCCCGATGAACCCCCAAAGCCTCGGACACCACCAGAGCCACAATCCCTGCGGCTCTTTAGCCTGTGCCAAAGGCCGTGCGACGGGACGGCAAGAGAACAGTGCGAAGCCACATTGCCATAAGTCAAATACGAAAGTAAGTGCAAAGCCCATAATACGCCTGCACGCCCTGTCGCGACGGGCTTGCGCTCTCAGCCGAGCCCGGCAGTGCCGGGCAAGAGTCCCAGGGAGAGAAGGAGAGAGAGAGAGAGAGTGAGAGAGAGAGAGAGCGAGAGAGAGAGAGAGAGGAGGAGGAGGAGGAGGAGGAGGAGGAGGAGGACGAGGAGGAGGAGGAGGAGGAGGAGGATTTTTCCATCACATGCACTCCTCGCGCAGCCCGCCAGGCCCACAGCAAAAACCCTGGTCCCGCACTGTTAGGGCAAATGCGTGTGTCACGGAATCGGTGCAGGAGCTGTTGCACCAGGAGGAACATTGGAACGCCTTATTCGAATAAGACGAAGCGTCGGGAGCATAAAACATAAGCCCACTGCCATCATGCGTACGCGGAATGATACGAATTTCCCCCGTTCTCGTATCGGTGAAACCTCAATGGGACAGGGGAGGGCGAGCAAGAAAGGGGGGCAGGAGGCAGAAGGGGGAGGAGGAAGAAGAAGAGGAGGCAGAAGCCAGAGTGGAAAGAGGGGAAGGGCAGTCCTGACCCCGCTAGGGGACGGACGAAGGATCCTAAGCAAAGCCTCGGACCCACCCGCAGAAACGAAGAAGGGGAGAAGGAGGCAGAGGGCGGAGAAGAAGAGGAAGCGGGGGAAGACGAAGAGGGAGAATGGGCAGCGTGGTCGCCAAAAACGGCTGCCACGCACAACAGTTGCTTTAAACCATGGCCCCCGCCAGAAATAAAAAAGCACCGGCCACAAAGCGGGGGAGGGAGGAGAGAGAGAGAGAAAAGGAAGAGGACCGGAAGGGGAAGAGAAGCACGACAGTCACCAGATCACAGCGCGAAGCTCCACTGACAGACAAATCGCCCGAGTGAACAGAACAGTGAAGAAGAAGACGCAATCACTAGAAAACGCCACAAATATATTGATAATAGCGGTACCGCTGGACCTGCCACACAAAACGGAAGCCGAGGCCAGACAGCGCGGCTGACCGGAGAGGCCACGCGCCTGCCTGGGCAGCCCCCACCTTACATACAACTCCCAAGCGTCGGTCCCCGAGCATGGGCACGGACCCTGGGGAGAGGCTAGAAGAAACTACACACCATCTACATGCATAACAAAAGGAAAAAACCAGAAGGGTAGAGGAGGAGGAGGAACGCGCATTCACGGCCTGCGAGGCCCTCGGCCCTGGATGCCCTGGAGCACCTCGTGGAAACCAGATATTACCCACGTCGTCCCAAATAACCACGATGCCATGTTTGATGGGGTACGTCAGCGTCGGGATGCCGCGTGGGCTCTGGGGCTTAGTGACGTGGTGCTCGACACACTTATCGACGTGGTACTCGACACACTTCGCTGTCACACGGGAGGATGTCGACGTCGAGCTGCTGATCCAAGTCATGCTGCTCCGCGTCCGCGTGGCGGTCTGGACGGGCAGTGCCTGCGCGGGAGCTGGCACGGGAGTCGGCGAGCTGGACGGTGAGGGAGTCGGTGAGCTGGCAGGTGCGGGAGGTAGCGATCTGGACGGTGCGGAAGTCGGCGAGCTGATCGGAGAGGGAGTCGGCGGGCTGGTCGGTGCGGGAGTCGGTGAGCTGGCCGATGCGAGAGTCGGTGGGCTGCTCGGCGCGAGACCCCGCGCTGATTGTCTTACGAATGGACGTCGACGTGGAACTGCTGGTCCCTGTCGTGGTTTTCCGTGTGGAATGGCTGGTCCTCGTCGTTCTGCTCCGGCACGTGGGACTCGCCCAGCTCAGGGACGTCGACGTAGCGCCGCGGATCCTGGACGTAGTGCTCCGCGTGGAGCTGTGGGTGTCGGTCGCGATGTTTAGCGACGTGGTACTCGTCGCGCCGCTTGCCCCAGGAGGTGGATGTCAACGTCGGGCCGACGGTCCTGGTTGCGGTGCTCCACGTAGGGCCGCGAGTCCCGGCCGCGTTGCTTAGCGACGCGGCACGTGCCGCGCTGCGTGTCTCCCGAATGGATGGGTCAGGCAGCGTTTTCCAGCGACTTTTGCCAGCCCCTAGGGAGGAACAACTTGCACGCATCTGTGACCTGCACCGAGCCAGCGACGCGCAGCGGCGCTGCGTGCTAGCGACACAGAACGCCCTACTCACCCTCTGCCACGGCCTCCCGGGGCTGGGAAGACCAAGATCGCAGCATGCGTGGCGGGCGCATACATGTCCTGCCCCCGCCCCCCCCCCCCCCCTGGGTGGGGAATAGGCTGCTTTGGCGGCGCCAGCGGGTCCACGGGCAACCTGGCAGAGCAGATCGGGAAGAACCTGGGCCCAGACAACAAGGACCTGTTCCCGCGCTTGGCAGCGCGCCTCGCGCGCGAGGACAAGGTCGAGGGCAGCGTGGCCAAATCGATCACCCCTGCAATGAAGTACGCTAAGATGTACCGCGTATCCGAGGACGACGCCAACGCGCGGCACGCGAACTGGCGCCGCCAGTTTCGCGCGGAAGCCGCCGCCGAGGCGAAACTCGCCCTGGCGACGCACAGAGCGGGAGCTGACATCCGAGAGAAGAAGCTCCTCATGCGCATCCTCGACGAGGCAGGACAAACGTCCGAGCCCATGGCCATCATGTCCCTGAACCACGCCGTCAGATGCGGAGCCAGGACGGTTCCCTTCGGCGACGAGCGGCAGCTGTGCCCGACGGTCAAATCCCAGCAGGCGCTCCAGTGGGGGCTAGGTGTCTCCATCCTCGCTAAGTACGTGGCAGCCTATGGGGTCACCCCCGAGTGCAACGTCACGTTGGAGGAGTTCTATAGGATCCACCCATCCCTGCTCGCGTGGCCATCGCTCGCGTTCTACGGGGGGCGACTGGTTTCCGCCATCCTGGAACCCTTGCAGCAGCGGCCATGCGCCGAAGGGCTTGGAGCGGCCACTCGCGCAACCCCTGTCCGACCAGGAGTACGAAGCGGCGAAGAGCGAGGACGCCAGCTACGAGACGGGGGACTCCCTGATCGACATCACAGGCGGAATCAGGAGTAAGGCAGCTTGCGTGGCCCCGAAAAGGAGCAGCGTCCCCAGCTACGACCGGCATCGTTTCATTATCGCCCATATCCCCATCGCAAAAGGTGCAGCCCAACTTCCAGGGCGGCTACGCGAACATCCACGAAGCGCGCACGGTGGTGGCACTGGTATGCGCCCTCGAGCCATGGTTAAGATCAACCAAGAGCACCATCCTCATCCTGTCGCCCTACAAGCTCCAGCTGACCCCCGTACTGGCCGGCAACCCGCGCTCACTCCACGACATCAGACGTTGCTCGCGGGCGGCGCAAGGGGGCGGCACCGACGACGCCACTGGCCCCAGCTCCCTGCGACAACAAGGACGGGACAGCTCCGCCTCTTCTCACAGCACCAAAGCGCCTGCGGGAGGGGTTTGGATCAATCACGCCACGCCGGCAAACGGCCTGAGTGAGCGCTTAAGGGATCGCAGAACTCGTTCCCCGGCACCTGGAGAGCGAGGCGACCCGGATCACCACCATCGACGCCGCGCAGGGGCAGGAGGCCTCCTTCGTCATCCTCATGACCACTCGAGCCAACTCCATGCTAAACTGGGGCCACGTCGGCGACCGGCACCGCGTCGACGTGGGGCTGACACGTCCGCGGTGCAACCTCACTATGACTGCCGACGCAAGGATGTTCCGCACGGCCGCAGACGCTGCACTCCATCACCTGAGCACCTGGGCCCGGAGGGCGGACCTTGCCTTCGAGTTCCACACGCATCGAGATGGCACCCTGGGTCAGACTCAGGCGGCCGACCAGGGTTTTCATGGGCGAAATGCCCTAATCAACCAACCCTGACGAAAAGGCCAGGCTAGCGGCGGATGCTGAGCGCAGGCGGAAGGAGAAGGAAGTGGTTCGGGCTACACCTGCACCAGTTCGGCGTCGCAGACCAGCCCACTGACCCCAACCTTCAGGACAGGGAGGGATGGCGCATGAACGAATTCCTCTTCTACTGCTCAGCGCTGGTAGGACTGGGCGCCGGCGACCTGGTCTATACCGCGGTCTTCGCGACCATCGCGCGGACGATAGGACTCGGAGTCACCGGCAAGGGCACCGCGCGCGCACTCGACCCCAACCCGATCCCACCCCGAAGGAACCGACCGAACGTGCCGGCAGCTTGGCATATCAAGGAGACCTGCATCCCCGCCGACGCCCCCAGGCGCAGACCGCAGACCCAGACGCTGGCACCCATCCGCCTGCAGATGCCAGAAGCACAGGGAGCCACCCACAACGGCCGTGTTCCACGCCTTCAGCAGCATGAACCCAAAAGAAAGCCCAGCCTCTGTCGTCAACAGCCTCCGGGACAGCACCGGCGCGACCTTGGGCGATATCTGGGCCAGGGTCCTCCTCGCCCTGTCCCTGCTTATACAGCGCGAGCCGCGCACCTGTCTGTGCCCAAGCGGGGGCGCCGAGGGCATCGGGGACGCGCAGGAAGCCATCCTCGGCCTGTGCGAGCCGCACCGCCCACGCGACAAGACTGCGCGTGACCAACTGGGCACGTTGTTCGGGCCCCAGAGGAAGCACTTCAA